TCCTTCTCGTCCTCCTCCCCCCCCCCCTCATTCCCTCTCCTCCTCCTCACCCTCCATCCTCACTTCCTGCTTCTCCTTCTTCCCATTCCCTCTCTCTTGCCCCCCCTCGCCCCCCCCCACCCTCTCTCTCTCGCACCATCTCGATGTGGTGCTTGGTGAAGCAAGCGATCTTGTCCTCGAGGCAGTCGGGCATGTTGAGATCGATTGCAAGAGAAGCAGCATTCACGATGACCTGCCGTCCCGTTAACTCGATATCTCCCGCAGCTTCTTGTATCTCCATCCTCCTTTCTTTCTTCCTTTCTTCCTTCACCATTGCTTTCAAATCTTCTTCCACATCCTGCTTCATCTTTCCTACATTCCCTTCGTCTTGTCTAAATGTTTCCTCGTTCTTCCCAGTCTTGGTGTTGGTCCTCGTTCGCGTCCTCCTCGTCCTCGTCCTCGCCCTGGTCCTCCTCCTTTCTTCTCGTCCTCCTCCTCCTTCCCGTCCCCCTCCTCTCACCTGCAGATGCTCGTCGCTCATCTTGTGGTCGTCTTCTTCTGCAGACGAGAACTTCTTGATCATCGCCTTGTACGTCGGAGTGAACATCTCGATCGTATCCAGCAGCCGAAGCCGGTCCTCCTTCACGTACGACTTTCTGATCTGACCTGCTCCCAGCCTCATGACCAGTCCCCTCTTCGTCCTCCTCCTCGTCTTCGTCCTCCTCGTCCTCGTCCTTGTCTCCTACTCCTACTCCTTCTTCTGCACCTCCATCCTTCCTCCTCCTCCTCCTCCTTCCTCCTTCCGCCCCCCTCTTCCTGCTTCTCCTCCTCTACTCACCGATCATCTTGTGGTACTTCCAGAACTCGATCCTCTCGTTCCCGCGTCCGTCCTTGCTCGTCTTCACCTGGGGACCGACTAGGGTGTCAGAACCCTCCCCCGCAAGACCTGAGCCCACAGCTCGAGTCGAGCTGGACTTACGTTGGATCTCTTCTCCTTGACTTTGGTCAGCATCTCGTCGCCGATGTCTTCGGACACGCAGTTGTCAACTACAGACCTGCAGCAGCGATGTCAGCTCTTCATCCATCGTCCTCGTCCTCGTCCTCGTCCTCGTCCTCGTCCTCGTCCTCTTCTCCTCATCTTCTCGTCCTCGTCCTCTTCTCCTCATCTTCTCGTCCTCGTCCTCGTCCTCCTCATCTTCTCGTCCTCGTCCTCGTCTCCACCCCCTTCCTCCTCGTCCTCCTCCCCTCACCCTCCCGGCAGCGAATCCTCGGTGTTGGTCCAGATGACGCACTTATGCGCCAGCTGCTTCTGGAGCGACTGCGAGACTTCAGCTGGGGTCCAGCACATTGACAGGGTCGCTTGTCAAACCTTGATCCGCAGCTGCAGGATCAGGACGTCGTCCGTTGACTTGAGCGCCTGGTTGCAGGGCCCACGCTGCGACCGTTATAAGTTTGACTAGCGGTTACGAGGGGTTCGACCTCGACGAGCTGGTAGATCTCGCGGAGGGTCTGCAGCTGCTGGGGCTGCAGGTCGCCGCCGGCGATGATGGAGGGGCCGATGACTGCGAGAGAGTGAGAGGAGGAGAAGGAGGAGGAGGAGGAGGAGGAGGAGAACGAGGAGGAGGCAGGCGGGGGAGAAGGAAGAAGGAGGAGGAGGATGACGAGGATGACGAGGACGAGGACGAGAAAGAGGAAGAGGTGGCTACGGAAAGGGGGGGAGGGAGGAGCGAGAATCAGAACGGAGGAAGGAGTCCCGCCCAGTAAGGAGAGGAGGAGAAGGAGAGACCGTCATAGTCCCTGAAATACTCGAATGCTTGACGTATGAAACGCTTCTCCCTGTCCTATGTTCTCAGCTCCTCCTCCTCCCTCCTCCTCCCTCCTCCTCCCTCCTCCCTCCTTCTCCTCCTGCTTACTTGTCTGTCATGGACAGGACACCATCTGGAGACTCGTCCTGTATGGTTAAGATCAGTTCGCCCCCGCTCTCCTTGCTCCATCATTCTTCTGCTCCTGCTGCTGATCGTCCAATATCACTCTCTCCGCCTTGTCTCTTACTCCACTACTTCTCCCTCTCCACTGCCTCCTGCTCCTCCTCTTGCTTTTTATCAACCTCCTCCTGCTCCTGCTCCTCCTGCTCCTCCTGCTCCTCCTGCTCCTGCTTCTCGTCCTCCTCTTCTTCCTGCTCCTCCTCCTGCTTCCAGCTCTCTTCCTCCTCCTGCTCGTTCTCAGGCCAGACCTGCTGGGACATCAGCCTCCAGCCATCCTGCGTCTTGAACCAGGTGGTAGTTCCAGTCCCTTCGTAGAACCACCTGCCCACAGGTCAGCGAGCTGGAGTCCTGCTGGGGTCGGAGAACCTCTGCAGGTCGCCGAAGTCTCCCCGATCTTCCAAGGGGCTGTGAGGGGCTGCAGGACAAGTTGAGAGGACGCGAGGGAGGAGGAAGAACGAAGGGAGAGGGAATGGGAAGGGGGGAGGGAAGGAGAGGGAGGAGGAGGAGAAATGAGGAGAGGAAGAGCAGGAGAAGCA